AACAGACAAGTTGCTGTCCTTTTGTTCTTCAGTCTAGTTGTGGAGGACATCGCTTCACTGGCCCATGTTGGTATTGTGATCATTGCGCTCTTCCCGCCTGAGGCAGTTGGTTGCCGGCCATTGGACCGTCACTCATGGTGGCTCACGGCAGCTCACGCCGGCTGCAGGCCGCTCACGGTAGCTTACGGCAGCCCACTGCAGCCCTACTGCAGCCTGCGCTGTGACTGGCGACTCTCGGCAGCTCAGCTCCAGGTTGAGCTGTTGTTCACCATCTTAGCTGTAGAGGGCACAGCGTCACTGGCCCATGTAGGATCCGAACCAGCGGCCCTGCTGCTCAGAGCTCGCACTCCCAAACCAACTATTAACCAACAAGTCACTCGGCTGGCCCAAGATTCATATTTTATCCCTGCCTCCTAGATGGGGGTGGGGGTGGAGGGAAGTGATGAATCCTGGGAATGCTGGCTGAGATTATTGGGAATTAAAGGGAAACCTCTATCAGTCACTTGCCAGGATTCATGTTCCATCACACTTTCAAGGGTTACTGTCCCTTGGTCAAGAGTAGAATTAGGTATTTTTAACTGTGTTGAGGAAGATACTGAAGGTTTAATAACAGAACATCTTGGTTCCTGTTGACCTTATTCAGTACTTCTTAAGTGCGGTGTAGGAATCACTGGTAGATTTTGAAATTGTTTCAGACTGGCTCATTTTGTGATGATAATGTCTTTACTGGGATCATGTCAATTTTGCACCTTGGCTTTTGACACAAATCCATGTCTTTACTGTAATGGAAAGATGATGTGTGTTCTCTTGCACTTTCTACTCCAACTGCACCTTACTTTGGTTAGCTCGTACAGTTGTTAATTAAGAAGTCTTTTATTATTCTATTTCTTAAACTTAAAATGAAAAACAAACTCATCCATACGTTCTAAAAGAGGATTTAACATTGCTAGTATGGTTAAATTTTACAATATTGAGGTTTAAAAAGCTGTAAAAGCAATTGAATGGTCATTTTAACATGTTGATAATGGTATGACATTCAATTAGAAATACTAGTAGGCAGCTATACATAATGGTTTTTAGGAGAGCAGTCAAGACTGGAGAGAGATTTAGAAAGCCATGGGAATACATGCACTCTCCAAAACCTTGGAATGTGCCCCCATTTAAGCAATGAAAAGAAGTGTGACCATTGAAAGATATAGGGAATAAGGAACCAGAGAGGCAGAAGGGTAGAGGACAAGTATATAGAAAGTTCAGAAAATAAAGGTGCCCAACCTTATCAGATGCTACGGTGTGATCAGGTCATAGCTAACAGTGATACAGTGTAAGTTGCAAAGTATTTTCATATGTCTGATTTCATTTGACTCTCCTAAAAGACATGTGAAGTAGGCAATATATGACCACTAAGAACTAACTACTGGATTTTATCATTAAAAGGTCTTTTCTGATATTACAGTGAGCAGTTTCTTAATTTAAAAATCTACCATATATAAACAGCTCATACTAATTGATAAAACAATGGAATTTAAGAAAACAGGCAAAGGCTATGCATTGCCATTTTAAAGGAGATGACTTTCAAAGGGCTGATGAACATTTGAAAAGATGTTCAATGCCTAAACAAAAAAATGCAATGTAACCCTCCCCCACTTTTTTGCAGATGTCAGAAGATACAGATAATATTGCAGTAGAAGAAAATGTAGATGAGCATCTCCAGAAAGGTCCTCCATAAGTATACCCCAACTCTGATACTGTTGGTTTCTACTTTTGACAGATGTAAATGACTAATCCTATCCTAGGATTTCAGTTAGGAGCACAAGTTAATTAAGAGATAAGTTCAAACAGAAACTAAACTTAGATAATAGAAGATGAGCATAAGAAAATAATGAGTAAAGTTTATATATGTAATAAAACTTGTTAATTAAAATTTTGTTTTCTCTCTCTGCAAACATGGAGAATCCACTAGTGCTTGAGACTGTTAGATCATAAAGATAGATAGACATAGAACCTGCTTCAGGAAACTCTAGATCTCAGAGAGAAAAATAAATAATGGTTGAACCCTGGTTTATTCATTATTATTGAGCACCTACTATGTGCCACTTGCCATTCTAAGTTCTGGGAATAGAGTATAAAAAAAAAACAACTAGTAATTTTTAAATTACACCAGGGAATACTGCAGTTAAGAATGAAGATTCTGCTTTTTTTCCCCCTTTTTGGACGCCCTGCTCTTTTGACCGCTTCTTCCTTTTTGAGCCTTTTGAACCTCGCCTTTGCGTGTGGCCCAGGCCAAACTCTTTGGAATGTAATTTCTCTTCTAATGATGGGCCCTAGAGCCGTTCTCTACTGCTCGGGCCTACTTCTACTTCTTTGAAGTGTACTATCTCTTCGAATAAACTACTTTTTCAGTACTTTAAAAAAAAAAAGAATGAAGATTCTCATGACCTATAGTGGTTTAGATTTATACTTACTCTCTATTTCCACCATCTCTTATGCAACCTCTAAGTCAGAGGTTCTCAACCTGTGGGGCGCAACCCCTTTGGGGGTCAAACGACCCCTTCACAGGGGTTGCCTAAGACCATCAGAAAACAAAAAGATACTTACAATTCATAACAGTAGCAAAATTACAGTTATAGAGTAGCAATGAAAATAATTTTATGGCTGGGGGTCACCACAACATGAGGAACTGTATGAAGGGGTCGCGGTCTTAGGAAGGTTGAGAACCGCTGCTACTTAGAAGCAGGGAGAAGAAAAAGAAAAATGCAAGGCAAAATGACCAAAAGGTCCTCTGTTTTCTACTGTGCCTAGGACTGCACAACCTGTGTCTTTCTCAGTTCATCTGGTGGATGAGCAGAAAAATGACACATAGCTTGGAGTGCACCTAACAGCTGGAGTCTTTTTTTATACCCTACAGAACTCTTTCATTTCCGCTAAGGGCTGGCAGAAGTAGGGGTCAGCAAATTTTACAAAACTGACATAAGTAGTTGAAATGGGTACCTAGAGACTTATCTCTTTTCCTTTCAGATTCCTTTCTTTCCAGTTTAATCAAGCTGAAGTAACCTGGCTTTGATATTTATATTTTCTGTAGAGCAGTCTTTATAGAATATGACTTCTTAGGGAATTATTTTCCCAAAAAGGAAAAAGATAAAGGTTTGCTTTTCTGAGTTTGTGTTTTTGTTTTGTTTTTTTGCCTCTAGCCAATAGCTGAGTATACACAGGGTAGGGAGAAAGTGACAAAAAAGAAACAAAATTCAGTCCTGACCATAACCAGATGGAAAGGGGGGAAGAGACACCCATTTGTCTTAGGTTCTAAGCTCTCATGGGCCAATGACCCAGTCTTCATAATTGTCATGATCCTTAAAAATCCATGCAATTTAGCTATTTAATAAGTACTTTTGCTGTTATTGCTGTTTAAGTATAGTGTCACAAACTGTATTATGTTGGCTTTTTGACAGATTTAAATGCAGAAGAAAATCAAAACAGAATTAAAACGTTGAAAGGCAAAGTAAGAGAAAAGCTAAAAAATGCTAAGGTAATGCTTACTTTTTTCTTTCCTGTTTTCAAATTTACTGTTTAAATGCAACGTGTATCTAATTAACTTTTCTTTGTTAAAAAAAAGAGCCAAAATTCAGTCTTAATATAACTCCTTAAGTCTAAAACTTCAAGTTCTTTTCCATGCTTTTTTTTCAAACCTAAAGCCAAGCAAAGTTAAGTGATTCTGTTATGGTGACTATATATGCCATCTCAGGGAGAATATGTATACACTTTTTAAAAGGAAAACATTGTTAAGTCTTGGTTTTTATGCATTTTGAACAAAAAACTTATGAGTATAGTTATATCTATATCTGTGAAGGTGGGATTTTTCTATACTATTTATTTTATGTTGTGTTTCAGATTAATCAAAGTGAAAAATGTTCAACTCATCTGCTCATTGATGATAAGATACATCAATGGTCTAAGGTGAATACCTCTTTTTCTTTTCTGTTAAAAACAGCTTTATTGTGGTGTACTTTATATAGCAAAAATTCATCCATTTTAAGTGTATGATTCAGTGATTTTTAGTAAATTTACAAAATCATGCAGTCAACACCATAATCCAATTTTAGATAGCTAGATGCAGATACTATATAAGATAAGCTTTTGTAGTTTATGTATTTTAAAATTTTTGACTTCTGATGACTATGAGTTTTACTTATAGAACTAAGTCCACTCTCAAACCTCCCTTAAAACAGTTCCTTTTAATATGTGTGTGAGAAAGTAGTCATACGTTCTTTACATTTAAAAGATTCAGGCTTTGTATTATTGCAAAATGAGAGCTTATTTATCAGCAATTTTATAACTAAGAATGTCACCTGTAGTACTTTTAACTACGTTTCACTCCACAAAAGATTGTAGAGAGGATGGGGTGGTACTTGTGTGTGAGCACACACATACATGAGTGCACCTGAAAATGGAGAGAGAAAAAAAGAATTTGCCCTGAGCCCACATTTTGATCAAACTGTAAGGCAATATTCTTAATACTCTGACTAAAGTGAAGAGATATTTTGGGCAGATGCAGAAGTTTGGACTGTATTCCGTTTTTTACTGCAGTTACCAGAACCATAAAAACAAAAATTTCATGAATCAGACCCAAAGTTAAATATAACTTAATATTGTCTCTCTCACTGCTCCTTTCTCATGTATAAGATAACAGTTACTATTTACCATATTACAGACAAGTTTTTCTTTCACTAAGAAGCAGAAAAAGTATTCATTTCAACACTGAATACTGGTTTACTACTGTTTACCCACAGACCGAAGTCTCATTGGATGCAAGCCTTTCATTTTTCACTCTAAGTGGTGAAGAAGGCTCAGCGTGCAGCCAGTCTTCAGAGCAGGTTGGATTTGTCCTCTTTCATTCTCAGGAAAAAGAACTCTTTATTAAAGACAAAGAATGAAATATTTGGATGAGAGATGAAATGTTTATTTTTTTTTATTTTTTTTTATTGGGGAATTGGGGGGATGGGAACAGTGCTGGGGAGTTGGGGGA